ATGTCATAAAATGTCATATAAAAATTAGTTTTTTCATTATTTTTTAATAAATTATATTATTATTTATCTAATAAAAATTATCTGAAAGAATAGTTCATATCACAAGACAATGGAAGAGTGGAAAATACGTAATATAATAATGTATCATATTAGAAACTCTTCTGCTCCTTTGGTATGTACATTTCATTTATTCTATTATAAACATCGCGCAACAAATTGTGACATTTAGTAAACAAATACTGAAGAATTCAGAAAAATACTAATCTCTTTATAAGGTATGATAGAATTCAAGCAAATTGCTTCAACATTTCTTTTATCATTAACGCTAATCAATTCTATGAATTGGTAAAAAATTGAAAGTAATTAATCAGGTTGTTTAATAACAAATCTCATATCATAGACAACGCATGGAAACTAATGGAATTATTTTTAATAATCGGAATTAGCTATCGGAATTAGCCTCTGATCATTTAAAAATTGTCCAAAGATTGATAGTTTGTAATTTTATTAAAACGAATTATTCTTCTATTTTTATCATTAATCTTAATGGGGCTTTTTTTTTTCAAGATGGAATTTAAATTAACGTATGGCATATTTAACAAGTAAATTAGATTTTGCAGAATAATAAACGTATATTTTCGTAAAATATGCGTATTATATGATATAATTGCATATATCATATTGCTAATAAATATAATATATATATTGTTTGAAAGAATCAATTTTATTTGTTAAGCGTATATATGAAACAAGAAATACCGAAAGAAAAATAATGTCATTGATTTGCAGTTATCTTTTATAATTTTATTAAAAAATTTATAACAATATATTATACAATATATATTTGTATTCAATATTTATAGATAATTAAAATTTATATCTATAATTTTATATTATATTAATATTTTATTAAAAAATATTATTGAAATAAAAGTTTTTGTTTTAAAAGAATTTAACAATTTGGCAAAATTTAATGAGAAAATAATCTATAAAATAAATAATTTAAACCATCAATAAATATTATTTAATTATTAATTTAAAATTAATTGTTGACTTGGGCAGTGGAAAACAATAAATAAAAATATACGGATAGCTGAAATATAAATATTGAATATATTTGATTATATGTGATTGCGCGTCTATTTATAAAACATTTGAAATACATGTATCGAAGAGATAGCACCAACTAACAAATAGTTACCAACTATGAAATAATAATGTTGCTGGCAACATTCAATAATGAAATCAACACCAATCAATATATAAAATTTCAGTGAACTTTAAATTTTATAATACTCCCACTAAAAGTGAACTGAAATTTGTTTAGTGTATGTATGCTTATTATATTTGAATGTTATAGTTCTATGCATCTATCATGTCTTTGATACTCTTGATATTCAATCGATTTCTTTGTATTTCAAATATTGTTCTTCTTAGAGGTTTTGTTAATAGGTCTGCCTGCTGATCTTCCAATGCTATATATTGCAGAAGAAACTTAACTCCTTAAATTTGTCTCGTATAACATACGTACTTACTTCTTCGATGAAATTCTGGGTTTTTAATAAGCGATAATTGAGCGATTGCGCTCAAATTATCCACGTAAAGAGTCGTTGTAAAGTTCTTGAACACAACTAGATCATTAATCAAACTTTTCATCCATATGATCTCTTTTATAGTTTGACTAGCTGCTATGTATTCGGCTTCAGTAGTGAATAGAGCTACTGTTCGTTGTCGTGTTGACCTCCAAGCTATTGCGGAATCGCCTAGTTTTAATACAAAACCAGTAGTGGACTTCCTCATTTCAANTAATTTCGTAAAGCTGATCTGTGAATGTTACATCTTTATGTATTTTAACTCCTCTTTCAAGAAACCAAATTCGGAATTCTTTTGTGTTTTCATCATATCCGACGAAAATGCCTTTTTCGGCTTTAATATCCCATTTTCATCTCTTCTCTTTAGGGATATGAAAGTATATATTTCCTCTCCGAAGGTTCTGAGATTTGAAATATTCAGTCTCTTCTTGAGCCACAGTTCAATAGGTGTTATTCCTTTCTCCCCACTGGTTCCAGTTTATTTAAAGTATAAACAGTGTAATTAACTGCTTCAGCCCACATTTTGATTGGCAATTTTCCTGCATGTAACAACGTTCTCATTAAGTCAACTACAGTTCGGTTTTCTCGTTCGGTGCAACCGTTCGAGAATCGTTTCCGGATTAAATGGTACTGTTTTCAGATATAGCGTAATGCCATATCGACGTGTTAGTTCCTCAATTTCTTTATTGACGAACTCAAGACTATTATCTGATCTGACGATTTTGATTCCTTTTTCTAAGTGCTTATCAATCTTCTTGAAGAAATCCTCTAGATATTATGATGTCTCTGATTTATTTTTGATAAAATATAAACTTCTCCAATGACTATAATCATCTTTCAACATTAAGAAATATCGAGCTCCTCCAAGCGAATTTTCTTGCATTTGACCTGAAAGATCTGCATGGATGAATTTTCCAATA